CCGTGAAGCAGTTGTCTTTGCATGGCTGTGTTTCGATTTGATAGGTGGGATATGGCAGTGAATTTACAGGGTACAGAGGAATAACACCTGAGTCCTCAGGAATGGCAACGCATGGGAGGTATCATGGGCGAAACAGTATACTTTGTTATGTCCATGATACTGCTCATGTTAATAGGCGAAGGTTACCATTTGTCATCAGGTGGATTGTCAGCTTGTTTGCCATTTTAAGTCGCAAAAAAAAAGACTATATACGGGTATGAATATTTGAGTAGTTCATCTGTTTGATGACTACTCAAATACTCATACATTCGTATCTCTTATAATATTCGTTCGAGTGCTCGATTTCGAGTCAGAATTAGATTTTTTTTAACGAGCATTAAAATACTTGAATATTAAAAAATGCTGACTCATCACCATGTGAACCATATATTAGATAACCCTATACTGGCCGGCAGTACATCTGCAATGCCGCTGGTGTTGTGGGTGATCATGAGCGGCGGTAGTCACTTACCATCAGGTGAGCCGCATGCTCGTTTGCCTCTGCGTTTTAAAAAAAAATATTTTAAAAACATTTCAAGTCTAGTCTCATGGAAATTTCTAGGATGTATCCGATAGTTGTTTGTAGCATACGATCAGGCGATTCCAACCAAGCGCGTATAAATCACGCGACGTGTGTGTGTGTGTATGTGTGTGCGGAGCTACGCAATGTACTTGACATTAACCGTAATAGCTTTCCAGTGTCCGCGGAACAAAACGAGAAATTACAGAAATTCACTTACGCATTCCGAGAATTGCTTCTTATTATTGCTCCACTGAGCCAATAGATTACTGAATACTCTTAACTTAGCTAATAATTGATGTTTTTCATCATCATCATCAATTATGAGCTAAACTACAAATGATTGTTTTTCAAAATTGTTTAGTAGCACATGGGAATGACTGTACCACTTCTCTGTTTAGAGACGAATCATCGTATTGTCGAGATATCGCTGTCACGGAGTAAATAATAGTTCACAATGTCTATACTCCATACATCAGCCAGAGTGAGAAGAGCCACTGTCAGGCACCAACGTCTCAATGCAGTTTTGTATACAAACAGAACTTGCAAACTGAACACTTGTAAATAGTAAATATTTTTAAAGCACTTCCTAAAGAAGAAAACCGTGTTATGTGATTACGTCACTAATTTTGAACCAATTGTAATAATTGTTTTTACAAGTGATACAGTTTACTCTATATTGGTCCAATTTTTAATTTTCAACAATTGAAGCTGCTTTATTGTATTGTAAAATTTTTATTGTACATATTTTTACATTGCCGACATTAAACGATTTAATATACAATCTATACTAATATTATAAAGAGGAAAGATTTTTGTGTGTATGTATGTTTGTAATGAAAAAACTCAAAAACTACTTCGCCGATTTAAAAAATTCTTTTATCATTAGAAAACTACATTCACCCCGAGTAACATAGGTTATATTTATTGCTAGAAAAGATTAGGGATCCTTACTAAAACTTCAGTAACGTAACTCAAGGTGTAAGAAAAATGCTACAAAATATCTTTCGTCGCGTGCACTGCAAAAACTATTGGTGATAGAACAAAAGTATGTTCTACAATATTGAAGAAAATATCAATAACTACAACTAAACTTCGCGACACTATATGTCCAACTATTATCGTTATGTCAAAATAACCACTTTTTAAAATGTTGTAAAAATGTCTACCCGTGCGAAGCCGGGACGCGCCGCTAGTATTTAATAATTGAATATGATTAAATAAACAACATTTTACGCGTTCGATCTTGTATGAGGTAAAAGGTTTCTTTGGCTGGTGTTTCCATAGAAATGTATGGTTTAATCAAGGTTATGATATGACAGATACAAAGTGCTTCATAAATTGCGAAGAAGGTTGTTTGTTCGTCTGGTGAATTGTGCTCACGTACTGAGCATCACGACACGCTTGCGGTGTGTACTCAATTAATGTACGGTTTATACTAGTACCAGTTACTGTCGTGCAATCTACATGATCTCACAATAGTACAGCATAATAATACATTACTAACAGTTATTATTAAATTCAAAAGAAATTTCTTATATAATTTTGTTTTGTTTTTTATTTAACTTTCTTTATGTTTATTTTTATGTTTAATTTTTTCACTAATAGCTGCAACCTAATGGCTTGGTTGCAGTCGCATTTATTATTGGATCATGCTGTGTGCACATGTAGTGGCAAGTTTACCTGATCCAATACATTATGTACTTGCATGTTATAATTTAAGTTATTTGTAAACTTCTGTTATGTGCGCCTAATTATTTAAATAAAATAAATAAATAAAATAAATTGCATAAATTTAAATTTCTATCTATTGTAAATGTCAAATTTTAAACGTTCTTTTGAATGCTACTAAGAAGAAGAATAGAATAGAAAACATTTATTGTCATTGCCAGAAATTGTTATTGCCAGAAAAAAATTAGTTACAACAGAAAATAGGGAGACTTTGTAAAAAAATCGTTTGCTTGGGCACCTCTGTCCCATTCGTGTTTTTACCGTTGTTTGCATTGATGTGTTTCAGTTTGAATATACAGGGTACAGAGAAATAACATCTAAGTCCTCAGGAATGTTGCGGGGGGGGGGGTATCATGGGCGAAACAGTATACTCTGTTATGTTCACGGTATTGCTCTTGTCTATAGGCGACGGTTACCACTTTCCGTCAGGTGGGCCGTCAGCTTGTTTTCCATTCTAAGTTGTATATAAAAAAAAAAAGTTAGGCTTTAGAGATATTTTAGAAGGGACGCTGCTGCCTATGCCTCGCCCTTCCTTAGTCGATTCTTACGACATCCACGAGAAAGGTAGGGGTGGCCTATTCTATGCCGGGGCCACACGGCAAAGTTCTAAAGAAATTTCAGTACCAAATAAATGGTAAATATATATGAATAATATAGTTGGAATACAAACTATATTATTCACGTATTTCGCGGAATACGTTAAATATGTCTGATCGTATGGCGCGCCGGTTACAGCTTAACTACGGGTCGTAAGTGGGCCCACGATTTACGCCGGCTTGTTAACTCGTCCGCGTATAAATTATACACCGCCATGTAAATCTAGCGCCCGTATTGTCTTACCCAGAGATTGATCGCGTGATTAAAGATTACACAATTTTTCACCAAGTATCTGCCTTAACACTAGAGGGATTTACCAGAGGGAGACTTTGTACAAAAGTCGTTTGCTTGGGTACCTCTGTCCCATATGTGTTTCAACCGTGAAGCAGTTGTGTTTGTATGACTGTGTTTCGGTTTGAAGGGTGGGATATGGCAGTGAATTTACAGAGTACAGAGGAATAACACCTGAGTCCTCAGGAATGACAACGCAAGGGGGGTATCATGGGCGAAACAGTATACTCTGTTATGTCCAGGGTACTGCTCATGTCTATAGGCGACGGTTACCACTTTTTATCAGGTGGGCCGTCAGCTTGTTTACTATTCTAAGTCGTATAAAAAAAAAAGACAGAGAGTACTAAGGCGAGAATTGGGTGCTAGGAATTAAGACATTAATACAGTGAACGCTCTATATAAGCAACCTGTCTATAAGCAACATTCTTTATATTTTATTTATTCTACTCAACTTAGTAAAAGAAATAAGTAAAAATATTTTCCAAATGGTAAGTATTTTTATACTCCTTTTTTCCCTATAAGCAACTTTATTTCTTCTTTTATTTGGAAATAAGAAACATTTTTATTGAAATTGCTTCAAATGAGTTGCTTATATAGAGCGTTCACTGTATATCTTGGGGAGAGATTGATACCTGCTGCTAACTTTCAGCACCATACAACTCGCCACAAACTAAAGTTCCATCCCAACTATCTAGACGAGTGGTGGTCTTTCACCGTGCGTTTTTCAAGGCACTTTTACGCACGCAGGAGGCAAACGAGCATGCAGCTCACTTGATGGTAAGTGACTACCGTCGCCCATGATCACCCACAACACCAACGGCATTGCAGGTGTGCTGCCGGCCTTTTAAAAAGGAATATGTTCTTTTCTTGAAGGTTATGATGTCGTATCGGTTCGGAAATACTGCTGCTGGAAGTTGATTCCAAAGAGTGGTTGTGCGTGGAAGAAAGTGCCTTGAAAAACGCACGGTGAAAGACCGCCACTCGTCCAGATAGTTTTTTGTTATACCACTGAGGTGGCAAACAAGCATACGGCCCACCTGATGGTAAGTGGTTACCGTAGCCTATGAACACCTGCAATACCAGAGGTATTACGCGTGCGTTGCCGACCCTGAAGAAACCTCTTTAATTTTCTGCCATCTATTTTTTTACTCTGTCATCTTGACGTGCAATAGTTTATTTATATCTATAAAGGATCTTATCTAATCGTCCGTCGGTACGGTCGAGTCTATTTATAGAATTGCGAAGAAACAATTGAATGGAGTCGGTACCGTCTAATTATTTAATTTACTTGCGAGCGCCGACTCGAGGAAGTGTGCCAATTGGTTTAATGGACGCTGGCTTTCATGAATGGGGAAATAATGGTGTATACGTATCGTAGTGGCGATGGTGTTTCTTTGAAAATGCCTATTTTGAAATTCTGAGTACCAGTTTTGAAAGGTATAATTTTATTAATGCCTTTTTTTTTGTACAACTTAGAATAGCAGACAAGCTGATGGCCCACCTGATGAAAAGTGGTAACCGTCGCCTATAGACATGTGCAGTACCATACACATAACAGAGTATACTGTTTCGCCCATGATACCTGGGATGATGGTTGTTGTGCCCAAGAGCCAAATTATATAATAAAAATAATAATAATAAAAAAAAAGAAGTATTGAGCTAGCCAGTGCAATGTGAGCACACCTTAATTGGTGCAAATAAATTAGTTCAGCATGACTGAATGGATTGGTGGAAAATAGCTTCACTATAAAGTTAGTTAGCTATAAAGTTACTAAATCTTACTAATATTAATCTGTCTGTATGTACATCTATATATACTGACATGGCCCGAAGGATAAGCAAGCTGAAGTGGCAATGGGCTGGTCACATAGCTCGAAGAACGGACAACCGATGGGGAAGGTTCTTGAGTGACGACCACGTACGGGTAAACGCAGTGTAGGACAACCCTCCACTATATGGAGTGACGACCTGAAATGCATTGCAGGGAGTCAGTGGATGCAGGTGGCTCAGGACTGTTCTTTATGGCAGTCTGTAGGGGAGGCCTATGTCCAGCAGTAGACGAATCATGGCTGAAATGATGCTGATGATGATGTACATCTGTTCTGTTCTATTGCCGTGTGGTCCCGGCATAGACTGGGCCTCCTTTCCCGTGGGTGTCGTAAGAGGCGGTTAAGGGAGAGCAAGGAATGGGCAACAGCGTCACACTTAAAACATCACCAGTCTAACTGCGGTTTCAGGGGCGAAAGGGATTGTTAGTAATGAAGACAAAGAATCCCACTGCTAGCAATATATTCAAAAAGGTCAACCTCTTCGCGGTCCCCCTGGAAACTATCATGGTTAATTCTTGATGAATTCATCATGATGGTCTAACTGGCCTATTTTCATTCTCATCAATCACCCTTCACTGGTGCTCCGCCAGCGTATCCCGTTAGCGCAGGCGGTGTTACCATACCATTTTCACCCATAAAAAAAAAGTATTGTTTGTTTTCCTACAGAGCAAAAGATTCATATATGAAATATACATTATAAAATGATTACTTTATGTACTAATTCATGCGGGCGAATTCGCAGGAAGCAGCTAGTTGTATAATAATTTTAGTGCCTAAGTATGTAATTTGTATACCCAGTGTTTAGTATATCGAATGTTTGTCAGTTTGTTTATACCTAATCTATTATTACTAGAGGCGGCGTAGGTCCGTCTAGCTCGTAGACAGGTTCATGCTTGACGTGCAAATGTCAAGGTTTGCCGAAATTGATCCGGGCTCGGATGGACCATATGTTGTTCTATAATTAAATTGATCAAACTTGCAATTAGGTAGCTATGGATGTTATCGCAGTGTATGGTGCAAGTGACAAGCGATAAGTCGAAAGAAAGAAAACATATTTATTTGGTGAACACTAGTAATATTAAAGATCTATTTTTATTCTTCTGGAAATATAAAATAAAAAAAAAAAAACAGAAAAATAAAAAAAAAAATCAGGTGTTTTTATGAACTGTTTCAATTATTACTCAAGTGTACGTAAATTCTAAATGAAGACATGAATGGTATATGATCTCCGTCGTTTCGAATGGCGATCCCATATAGGCAAGTGTAGAGTGGAGTGACTCCCTGCGGGATGAAGTGAAGATCTTAAGAATGTTGTAGGAAGTCGTTGGATGCGAGTGGCTCGGGATCGTATTCTGTGGTGTAATATGAGACCGATCACTGATGTTCAAGTGTTCAGTGGACGGTGGATAGGTTGTATTGATAATGATAATAATGTATAATTATCATGTTTATTATATCTTTCGTTAACTATCCACTGTTGAACATAGGCCTCTCCCTCCACATAGGATTAGCTAATAGTTATCACGTTTGGCAGGCGGGTTTAGCAACCACAGTTAGACTTCGGTGATATTTTAAGAGGGACGTTGCTAATCATCCCTCGACCAATATGTTTTCCTTATGTCACCCATGGGAATGGAAGGGGTAGCCTATTCTATGCCAGGATCACACAATATATCTTTATGGAAAGCTAACTAAAGGGAACTTAACGGTCGAGGGATGACTGTTAAGTTCCCTTAGTTGCCTTTTACGACACCTATGGGAAAAAGAGGGGTGGTCGCTTCTATGCCGGTACTACACGGCAATTATGTTACTATTATTTAATGTTTTTTGTTTTACATCACAGGGGGCAAACGAGCATGCGGCTCACCTGATGGTAAGTGACTACCGCCGTCCATGATCACCCACAACATGAGCGGCATTACAGGTGTGCTGCCGGCCTTTTAAAAAGGAATATGTTCTTTTCTTGAAGATGATGTTGTCGTATTGGTTCGGTTCGTTAATGTGTAATAAAACCAAATTTTTCTCTCCTCCTCCTCTACCTTTAGACCACACCCGAATCCTTTGCAGCATCAGAAAAACTGACATGTGCATTATCTTGTTTCGTTAATCCAGCGTCCGTTACTATGTAATTACGTGCATGAATACTCTAATATTTGAATGTAGTAATTGCATCACGCTTAGTTACGTTTCATTAGGAATAATATAAAAAAAACAGACTTTAATTTTATAGTAAAATAAAAATAGAAACAAAGTAATTATTTTAAATACGGTATACATATTATATATATATATATATATATATATATATATATATATATATATATATATATATATATATATATATATTAAGTTATTTATTATATCGGCCTTTAACTGTCCACTGCTGAACATAAGTTTACACCTTGGAGGGTTTTGCTAGTAGTTGCCACGCTTGGCAGGCAAATTGGCAACTGCAGTTAGGCTTTGGAGATGTTGTAAGAGGGATGCAGCTGCCCACTCCTCGCCCTTCCTTAGTCGCCTCTTATGACACCCACGGGAAAAGAAGGGGTGGCCTATTCTATACCGGGCCATACACAACGAGGTTAGTTAGAGGCACGTTTAGTTGCTTAAAAAGGTATAAATAAAAAAAAAAATGGAATAAATGAAACTGGGAGATGAGCCCACGAGTATGACACCCACGGGAAAAGAAGGGGTGGGCTATTCTATACCGAGACTGATGCGGCGCTATTTAATTTACTAGTCTACAATAAAGAAAATGTTGAGATTTTTAAAAATTAAATACATGTATAAGTACTTTGAGATCCCGGCATAGAATGGACCACTCCTTCCATTCCTGTGGATATCGTAAGAGGTCACTAAGGGTACTCAATTAGCGTTACTCTAATAACATCACCAAAGCCTAACTGCGGTTGCTAACCCGCTTTTTTATTAATCACCTATGTATATTTGTAATTAAAACGGATTAGAGAGAAGTGTGGACTGAAAGATGATGTAGTGACAAAAATCGAAAAAGGAATGTTGCGTTGGTTTGGTCATTTGGAGAGGATGGATGAAAGAAGAATTACGAAAGAGATTTATCGAGCAAGAATGAATAGAGATGTCGGTAGGGGCCGCCCTAGACGGACGTATGTCGACCAAATAGGCGACGTGCTGAAGAAGGGCCAAATTAAACGTACCCGTAACCGGCGAGCGTGTATGAAAAGATTGATGAATGTGGAAGAAGCGGAAGAGGTTTGTTTGAATCGACGCATTTGGCGTTTCATTGTTTCTGCCTACTTTAATGGGAGACAGGCGTGACAGATATGTATGTATGTAATGTCGATATATACATTATAATATAGTATATATAGTTTATTGTTTGCGGCAATATTCGGACCTACTTATGCCTTGGGCGGCGGTAGTCACTTACCATCAGGTGAGCCGCATGCTCGTTTGCCCACTGTGTTGTAAAAAAAAAAAAAAAAAGGAGAACAATTTATTTTTTTAATTTAAATTTGGAACAGTTTTAAGTGTAACTTTAACATTGGACTGTGAATCTTGTTTTTTTTTTCATGTATCAATACACTTGTGGGAATTTTTTTAAATGAAACTAACTCAGACGAAGCTGTAGGCAAAAACTAGTGTTCATATGCCTAATTGAATGCTAGTCTCGCCTGTGAGTGACTATAAAAAGCCTACGCACTTTCTCATGTCGCGATCATGAAAAGGCACGACGTACTAATCAGGTTGTAAACGGGTGAACTTTATGGTTTTACTGATCTTTTGATCGCGTTGATTTATGGTATTATTATGGCAACTCGTTACTGATTGATCGACAGCTTTCAGTCAGTTTTATAGAATTTTTTATTGAGAAAAAGAAACATATGTAGATAACTATTCTCTATCGAAAGGTGGCCTAGAAAAGGTCACTTTTAGTGAAAGGCCGTCTATAAATTTATTTTTACAATTTTTTTTTAGTAAAGTTTCGTTTAATTTATTATTATTATTTTTTTTATATAACTTAGAATGGCAAACAAGCTGACAGCCCACCTGATGGAGAGTGGTAACCGTCGCCTATACACATGAGCAGTAGCATGGACATAACAGTATACTCATACTGTTTCGCCCATGATACCCCTTCATGCGTTGCCATTCCTGAGGACTCAGTTAAGTTATTTTTAAGTTTACTACTAAATTTTTGAGAAGAACAATAAATAATATCATCATGATTTCAGCCTTTAACTGTCCACTGCTGAACATAAGCCTCCCCCTTGGGGGGTTTTGCCAGTAGTTGCCACGCTTGGCAGGTGGGTTGGAAACTGCAGTTAGGCTTTAAAGATATTTTGGGAGGGACGCTGCTGCCCACCTTCGCCCTTTCTTAGTCGATTCTTACGACACCCACGATAATATAATAAAATGTTATCATGTACTAAATGTGAAATTATATGATTAACTTTTTGATAAAATTCATCGATTGTTTATCGATTCTGTAATTGGACATTACTGTCCGGTCACTGACCCTTTTGTTTACCTTTCTAAAAGATTCTATAGAAATGGTCTATACGTCATTGGAGTTATTTCATTTTAGATGTCCGTTATACGATAACAAGATGTCGTAAAGTGATGACTTGAGTTTCTAGTGTGAATGTAATAGATTTATGTTACTACTGTTTTTTTATGGGATGAAAATGGAATAGTAACCCCGCCTGCGCTATCAGTATACGCAAGTGGAATACCAGGTGAGGATGAATTAAAAACTTAACAGCGCCTCCAGCGGATGGTTTTGAAAACTTTGAATTTTATAATTTTACGCAAGCGGAATACCAGGCGAGAACGAATTAAAAACAGCAGCGCCTCTAGCGGACGGTTTCGGAAACTATGAATTCTATAAATTTATCGTTGTGAATGTGTACGCAGCTGTAATAGGAATTTTTATACAAGTCACACTAGGCATTTGATTGCTATAACGGTCGCTCTGATTGCTTTTCGAATAAAAGGTCACGGGTTCGATTCCTATTTTTTTTGCTACATCAGACTTTCACATTGACATTTGAACTGTTATATCTATAAATATTTTTTAGTTAAATGCAATGTAAAGGTTGAAGTCGTCTCCAAATTAAGATATTTATTTATTCATATGCTTTTGTACATTCACTTATA